AGGCAATCGCCATGTCGATCCCTTTCTTTATCTGTTGACGATCATAATCTCAATGAGGACACTCCACCTCCTGCTGTTGACGATCGTAATCTCAACAAGGACGTTCATCCTGTCGTCGATCGAAACGCGATGAGGATCCTATATTATACCAGGACTCCTATGGGAGTCCACCTTTTTTAATCCTATTGACGATCGAATCTCAATGAGGATCCTATATATCTCTGTCACAGGAGCCATGCTACTGCTACTGCTATCTCTATCCCGTACCACGAACATCTTCAGCACGGATCGAGATCGCGGCCGAGTTAACAGCAGTCGAGGATCGATCGGCGATTAACAAAATTCATCGAAAAAAGAGCTCCGAATGCATAATAATGGTCGGCTTGTGTGTCATGGCTTGAGTCATGCTTCTCTTTTTTTTACGAGCGAATCCAGTCGAGTGGCAATGATGAGAGGATTGCTTACGAGCGAATCCAGTCGAGTACCATTGATAACAGATAGACATATAAGAATATGAATGAGTAACATCTCATAACCTCGCATGCTACCATGCGACAATACCATTGTGCATTGACTAGTCTAAGGATCTAAGAGATGTAAAGTTTGTATTTCCAAATAAGTGAGCAGTTATTGATTATTTGCTAGAATAAGCCTGCTAATTGTAAAGCTGTAAAGCTGAATTGTAAGCTGTATCCCGTCGCAGACGGCCCACGAAATCGACTTGGAGACAGAATTTGGGGAAGCTGTGAGTGTGCTGCCCAGGTTCTACCGTACGGTACTGGTAGCTAGATGGAAGAAGTGGAAATCCTTTGTTTGAGTCAATTGCTTTTCTAGCCGTATCATGTAGCTGCGACCGCTGGCAGATCACTTATCAGAAATATGACAACCATGAGTTTGCATACTGCGGGTCCGGCTGCTTGGTTCGGCCCCGGCTGGGAATCAGTAGGGGCGGGTTTTGCATGGAGCAATACCCTCTGCTGCCTTCATAATATCGTACCGATATCCCTTCCTTCCCGAATGATAGAACTATTTTTCTAATTTAAAAAGCAGCGCAAGGATCACTCTCAAGCTACCGTTTCTGTTTAATGCCAGAACTGAACTGCCTGCATTCCTAGCGTCGGCAGCTTGTTGTCGGAGGCGAAGTGGGTTTCCACAACGTGGATGGGCCCCCCTCGCTGAAGTCACATCGTGGAAAACAGAACGATTTCTTTGCTCCAGATGACGTCAGCTTGTCTGTTCGAAGGAAAGAATGAGTCCATAGTCAATCAACAATAAACGGGACTTGTGGGCTACAGCTTTTGAGCAATAGTAGCAACGTACTGTAGCAACGCCCCTTCGTTTTGACATGATGCAGCATGCAACTCTGAAGAACATGTACCGGTACCAGGTACCATCTATGTATGTATGTAATGGAAGAGTGCGCTCCTGCGTTCAAGGGTTCATGGAAGAGCTATGGCAGGTGGCTGGGGCGATAACCTTCCAAGCAATGGACACGTTGGTGTACCCCGGAGTAGTGTAATACAGCCATTTAGTTAAAGGGCCAGCAAGATTTGAGTGCATGCACTGTAACACTGTAACAGTATCTCTCAAGTCTCTCTATGTCCTGGCCAGATATCAACCTCAAAGTTGTTGACCAATAATTATTCGTTGAGTGAATCTACGGGTGGTCTATCCGTCTATCCAAAGTGCGCCGTCCTTCGTACTCAAGAGCAGACCACAAGCTCCAAGTAGTCTACATGTAGCAGCTGGAGCCTGGAGCCTTCTTCAAGATATCAACAAATAAATGCTGCCGAGCCCTTCTCGAAGAACGAAGTGCCGGACCTTTGGGGTTCCGGCAAGGGGAATGGAATTCGTCTCCTAAAAACAACGAGACGTCACAAATTCTCCTACAGTCAGTTCTCTCTTATATTTACGAAAGCAGCAACCAGCAATTTTGCACTAGCTAGCTACTAGCTAGTACCGGTAGCTACCGGTAGTGACGAACTCTTCGAGAGCTGTGGAGAATTGTGTCTCTCTTGGAATGGCAGGAATGAGGATCTAGCCGCATGGCCCTTGGCGAAGCGATCCAGATGAGCAGTGGCATCCACATGCATGCTATGCCCAAGCTCTCACAACTGATGCTGAGCTTTCTAAGATACCCTTCAGCCTCCAAATTGCTGATCAGAACGTCAGCTTCATCAATCGCAACACTCCTTTTGGTAAACTCCTTTAAAATTGCCATGCTTCAGCTGTGGTGGTTCCTTTGCTTTCTCCATGGTGGTTTGTCATGGCTCTATTCGGGGGCAACCCTGCATGATATCCTTTCTGCTACCGGTAGTCTACTCTGTAGCTTGAGTGACACAGTCACTACAGTACCGTAGCTAGCCGGCAACTGGTAAGCATAAAAATAAGAGAGAATATAAAAAGACAATAATATAAGAGAGAGCTGACTCTACCGGTACCGGAGATGGCGTGACGTGAGTATAATCGTAGTCGCTCTAAAGAAATAGCCTTCGGTTGGCACCGTAGGGATCCTGGATGGCAGGACAGACAGGGAGATGGGAAATGGCTATTTTGGTGGTCACTCGCTGAAAGGGCTAATATTACAGGCCGTGTGGTAGGGTCAAAAGCTGGTCAACCTCACAACAAGCAAACAATTTTAGTGACAATGGTGTACATGTACTGCTCCTTAGCTATCTAGCTAGCTAGCTTCGTAACTGGTCAAGCCAAAAGCCAAGATGATTCAATGAATACTAGAGCATCCTTTTCCAAGGCGCAATCGTGTTGTTAAGGTGGTCGTTGTCCCATTCTCATCATGGTCGGTACGGTCACTCGTGGTCAGCCGTGGTCGGTGATGGCCAGCTGTGGTCAACCGTGGTCAAAGGAGCATGAGAGGAGGAAGCAGGCTACTAAGATAGCTAGAGTATGCAGTGGACACCATGCTGGCCATTTGGCTCCTTATATTCCAGAGCAGTGCTTTCATTGGCCTTTCTGCGGCGCACCAAGGTCTTTTTTTCCCATTTCCCAGCAAAAATACCGGTACTGTAGCCCGCCTTCCCGGAAATATGGCCTTCGGACCAAAGTTCCTCTTCCCAAACAGGAAAAATGAACGCTGATAGCTACCCTGAAGCTACGTACCCTGATCATTGTTGGAGTCAAGTTCTGCCTCCAACCCGAGAGCTTTGGGCTCCGTTTGCCTTCATTCAAGATCTGCTGCCACCCAGAACTTCAAAGCTGCCTCCCAGGATATCAAAAGCAGCACTTGCTTCGAAGGAAGAGCAGCACTTGGTTGGTTGCTCGGAAGCCAAAGCTGACGAAGGCCCAAAAACAAAATCAGTTTGATTGTCTCTCCTCACAATTCTGGTGATCTAATCGATCAAAGCGTCACACGATCCTTCATTCTTCTTGCACGAAAAAGTCAAACAAAACCATTTCCACCATGAGTTCCGAAATCCCTGCTGGTGAAGGCGTAAGTTCCAAGCGTGGTCGCCATTGTTCTTTTTTGATTTTCCTTTTGATTTGTGTCCTCACTCTTGTGGTGGTTTGCTGCTATTGTTGTTAACTAACAGTATGAATGGAAGAAGTACTCCGAGTACCAAGTGGAGGTCGATCCTGATCAAGATGACAAGGCCAAGGAGATCAAGCTCTGCTCCTTTGCTCGTCCCCACATGCGTGCCTTTCATCTTTCTTGGGGAGGTTTCTTCATTGCCTTTTTCATTTGGTTCGCCATTGCTCCACTTCTCTCTGAGATCAAGAAGACTCTTGGTCTTACCAAGCAAGAGATCTGGACTTCCTCCATTGTGGGTGTTGGTGGAACCATCATGATGCGTTTCGTCAATGGTCCTCTCTGTGACAAGTTTGGAGCTCGCATTCCCTACACCATTATCCTTTGCTTTGCTTCCATCCCCTGTGCCTTGACCGGAACTGTCAACAGTGCTGCCACTCTTGCTGTTCTCCGTCTGTTCATTGGATTTGGTGGATCTACCTTTGTCATGTGCCAATACTGGGCTTCTCGTATGTTTGCCCGTGAGGTTGTTGGAACTGCCAATGCTCTCTGTGGAGGATGGGGAAACTTGGGAGGAGGTGTGACACAGCTTGTCATGGGATCCATGCTTTTTCCCCTGTTCAAGGAAATCTTCAAGAACTCTGAGGATCCCGCTGAGAAGGCATGGAGGACTGTATGCATTATCCCTGCTGTTGTTGGTTTTGCCTTTGGTGTTGGCATTTACTACTTGGGTGATGATGCTCCCAAGGGAAACTACGATGAATTGAAGAAGCATGGAGTCATGGCTGAGGTTTCTGCTGGAGCCTCCTTCCGTGCTGGTGCCCTCAACGTCAACACTTGGTAAGTTCCGATGTGCTGCCAGAAGCATCACCACGATGATCGATTAGCCCAACCAGCTAACAATTCCATTGCTTTCCGACAATTACATAGGTTGCTTTTCATCCAATACGCCTGCTGCTTTGGTGTTGAATTGACTATGAACAATGCTGCTGCTCTCTACTTTAAGGATGAGTTTGGCCAAAGTACTGAATCCGCTGCTGCTATTGCCTCAATTTTCGGATGGATGAATCTCTTTGCCCGTGGTCTTGGAGGATGGGCCAGCGACAAGGCCAATGGCAAGATGGGAATGCGTGGCCGCCTCATTGTCCACACCGTGTGTCTTCTCCTCGAGGGTATCCTGGTTATTGTCTTTGCCAACACTGGATCTTTGGGTCTTGCCATTGTTGTCATGGTCTTCTTCAGTCTCTTTGTGCAAGCAGCTGAAGGTACTTCCTATGGAATTGTACCCTATGTTGACCCTCCTTCCACTGGATCCATTGCTGGCATTGTTGGAGCTGGAGGAAACACTGGAGCTGTCTGCTTTGGACTTGGATTCCGCAACTTGGAGTACTTTGATGCTTTCATCCTTATGGGAAGTGTCATCATTATCTCCTCTGTCCTCTCTGGTGCCATCTACATCAAGGGGCACTCTGCTCTGTTCTGTGGAAAGGACGAGGTTGTTGAGACCTCCAAGGGTGGAGCTGCCGGAGACGGTATCCTCGCTGTTCCAGAACCAGATTCCGAGAAGTTCGTGGAGGTCGAGGAAGAAATCGACTGTTAGATTTCATGGTGGCCTCATTACTTCTGATTCCGACAGCTCTCTTCTCTCATACGGTTTGAGCCTTGGTTCCCGTACTTTCGATGTCTTTGCCGGTTAGCGGCGCTTGGTTTTGTGGCATCCAATATGCTTATTAGTGCATACACTTTTTGAAAACTTCTACCTACAACATCGAAAGCTAGCTAGTAATTGCTTGTAGCGGTGCCCCGCAAGGGGCACGGCAACATCGGCAACGGTGAACTGGTTCCGGCGGACGCTACAATCTACTCTACTCAGGCTTCATTGCTCGGTCGTCGGCTGGGCAGTGCAATGGACGACACGAGCAATATATACTCGGGCCCGTATGGCGGCCGTCTCTTCTCCCCCTCAGCGCAGGTACAATTGGTGTTGGGAGCGAACCTGCACTTGTGAACGGGAACACTACGGGCATTGCATGCGATTGACACACTGCCAAGAAAGGCAAGCCCAAAGAGGGTTGCAGAATCTAGCTATCACGGTAGCCTACCGTCATGGCAGAAGACGCACAAACAAGCAATACTGCGACCGGCTCAACGTTGGCAACTGTGGATCAGGGTATTCTGGCACCGGTGCACCGAGGTGGGTCAACAATTGGAACAAGGAAGACGAGTGACATCGCTTGCCTTCTGCTGATTCTGATTCCATTGGCAGGTTGGGCCTTGTCTAGCGTGGCTACGATCTTTCCTGAAGTTAGCTACTTCGGCAGTCCTTCGTCCACGCAATGGTAGCTACCGACGAAGCCAGTGGCAACAATGCACCGGGAGGATAGGTTCATTCAGTGAGCTGTTTGCTCGAAGGTTGCTGAGCTTCGTCAAGCCGAGCAAGCAAGATGTTGAAAGGCAAGCAACTCTCCGTTTTGCTGAACTCGCGGGGTGACTGACGGAGCTAATGCGTTTTCAGCAGCTTTGCTCTGGGACGTCAAAGGCTGGAGAGGCCAAGCTAGGCACGCCGTTTCCCTGCCGCAAAGCGACAAACGGTTGATCATTCCACAAACTGCAACGAAGAATCAATTCACTGTTGGGGCAAAATGTCAGCTTGCACTTGGTCGAGCTTGGAGCAACCTCCAACCAGCAAGAACCCTACTAAACTGTTGCTTCCCACTGTTCTTGGGGGGCTACCAGCACTCTAGATATCTGTCGTTGAACCCATCTACAGAAGAGTTACTACTAGACTAGCTATACTACTAGAACCGGTACCTAGTTTGCATTGAAGCGGAGCATGTCTTGAGCTTGGAACAATGCAGCGGGCAACCAAAATACGTCCTTGCAATGCGTATAATGATAGTACTCTTGCTTGACTAGGGGGTCCGGCCAGGACAGCAAGACGACGCTATGTGCGATCCACCGCCAAGCAAGAAAAAGCCAAGTGACAATCCCCAGTGGCTACTAGTTTCTCCATGGTGGCTTTCTCGTTTCGGGTTGGGTAAATGCTACGGTCGTTGGTTGCCGAGAGACCCCAATCTTCGAAATCAAGTCTGTATAGGTCCTGGCTCTAAATCCTTCCGTCGATATGACAACCAACTTCCGAGTCAGCACCAGTCCAGCTCTGGTATAAACAATGATTGGAACCAGTATCATTCCTTGCTGATGACCTTTGAAGCCGCAACGTTTCCACCCAGTCAGCTCCCAATGCAGGCTGCAGGCTGTAGGCCTCACTGCACTGCTAGCTATTCCGCGTAAACTTTCACGGTACCGACAGCTACTGTAGCCAGCCAGTGGCTAGCTACTAGACTAGAGCGCATCATCATCTATGCTCATCCAAAGGCGGTACGGTAGCTTCTACGGTCTGCTCTGAACGGTCCATGGTCGACTACTGGGCTTTGGGCTTCTTTCACCAGTGGCTCTTGTAGTCTGGTCCTGGCTAGCTAGCTGGCTCTTGGACTGGAACAGCTCTACTGAAACACGAACACAGCTGACGCTGCACAAGCACTATCATAATAGCTACCATAATCCTATTGGCACCTTCGATGGCGATTGGAAAGATTCACCGAGTTACCCAGTACAGCTCCCAGTACCCAGTACGACTCGACTCTAAACTGTAGCTACACTGTACAGCTGGGGATATAAAATTAATGACATTGTATGAGCTATTGTTGTATGTATTCACCAGAATGCGCCAGCTACCGTACCTGGTACCAGCTGAACATGCCCCCGGTGTGGTGTCATTACACTACTGGTAGTAATGTCCAACTCACGCACCTTGGAAGTTGGAAGTGCCGGAACCGGTAGCTCATACCGTACAGTGTACCGTACGGTAGCTCTCTACACTCCACAGCTCTAGCTACGTAGATCTAACTACTAAAAGTCCACTGAGTACGATCTGAGTCTGTACAAGCTTCTGTACAGTTCAGTAGCTCTTTTGTCACCTTCGATGCGTTCCTCGAAAGGCTCTTACTTGGAGTGAATGACGATTGATCATTCGAATCGTGGATAAATCGAGTCCTAATCAATTTTTGGAGCGTCAAAAATTATTAGGGCTCTTTTTTGAGCTCTAATGAATTTTTGAAAACGCTCCCAAAAATTGATTAGGACTCGATTTATCCACGACTCGAATCGTCATGAATGCGCCAGTTACAGTGTTACAGTACCTACCTGGTACCAGCTTTAAAGCTGAACATGCCCCCAGTGTGGTGTCATTATACTAGCTACTAGCTACTAGTAGTAATGTCCAACTCATGCAGGCACCTTGGAAGTTGGAAGTGGGGAAGGCCTACAGCTAGTCGAGTCAGAGTCCACTGAGTACTGAGTACGATCTCGGTCGAGTCTGTACAAGCTTCTGTACAGTTTACAGTTAGTTTACGACTATCTTTTGTATCATAGCTCTTTTGTTCACACTGAAACTTTTGAAGCGAAGCCAATTCAGTTCGGAGTTCGGAGTAATCAAAATGTCTGTTCAGATAGGCATGAGGCATGAAGAACACCATCTGGAATTCGGACCCTGGACCAACCACTGGACATGTTGTCGCTGGTACTCGAGTGAGTATTCATACATGGGATTTATTTTAAAATACTTACGCACATAGCATGCGTTCCGTGCCACTAATTCAGCAGTCGCCAGTCAATGACCAGAAGAAGCCGAGCAGAAAGAAGACAGAAGCGGAAGCTGAGTTAGTTGTGTGGCATTTTGTAGCTACCCACGTACGATGTAGTACCTGTACTGCAGCTACGAGCAATAATCAGATTCGATTCGAAACCAAAAAAGAACCTCCGGTGAGCTCACATTTACTACAGTGATATATTGCTACGATACCAAGCAAGCAACCCTTGGCCAAAGAAAAAAGGACACAAGAGGAAGCCTTTGCCATCCAGAATTCTGTTGCATTGCCAGGGCAGTATTGTATTGTATTGTAGTAAGTAATCATTAGCACAAGCATAAACTCGATCTTCTTCTTTGGTCGAACGAAACTCAACTCATACGAAACTAAACGAATGAAGCTAACAGTCGATTCCAGCATGGGTACCATCATGACGAACAATAGCGACAATAAGACCAACACCAAGCAGATTCGGACGAGCAGTTTGGACGAGTCGTCGTCGCAAGCAGACTTGAAGCACGACGAATGGGCTTGTACAACTACCGGTACTACTACTAACAACAATGCGTGTTCCACCAAGAAATCGTGCGACGAGAGCAGTGGCTACTGCGGTACACTACGAGTGATTCGTTCCAACAATCTCATTTGGATTGTTCCGCTGCTCGTGTTTGTCGGATTGGTGGCGAGTGGCGTGACCGTCTCGACGATGCATTTTGACAATCAGCAGTCGACGCAAATGGTAGAAGCCATTAGTGTGGCTGCCGAAACGGGACAACGCTTTAGCGACTTTTTGGATCACTCCATTACGCCGCTCTTTTCGTTGGGACAGTTTGTCCACGAACTCGATCTCTTTCGCGACTTACCCGATGCCATTGGACCGCACAACCAACCCGGGAGTCTCCCCATGGCCGATAACAATACATCGATCAAATTCCGCAACGTTTCGGGCGTGTGCGACGATCCGACACTCACCGACCGCTTTCACCGGATTGCCTCGACCATCAAGAAGAATGCCCTTCACATGCAAGGCGTGCTCGTCAATCTGCAGCTCGTCCCCGAAGGAGTCGTCTGTCTGCTCCACCCCGAAGTCAATTACGAAGACTTTCCACCCGGCAAGTTCATGAACAATACCGGAGCGATTGGACACGATCTCATTGCCGATCCGCAACGACGATTCCATGCCGAAGAGTCACTCAAAGCGGGTGTCCTCAAAACGGTTGGACCCATTCCGTTGGTGCAGTGTCAAGGATGTCATCCGGTGGTCGAACAGGCGTTCATTGCACGATTGCCCATTGTCATGGACGGACACGATATTGTGGCGCACGATGGAACTGTCCTCAAGCGACGATGGGGATTTGCCGTCGCCCTCATCAATTGGGCGGTACTCGTCGAAAAGACGTATTTGCACGAAGAATTTGCCGTCCGCGGATGGGGCTTTCGACTGTCGCGACAAGATTATACGTTTGATTCCGATTTGGACGAGTATATTGTCAAGACGGTGACATTGGCGGAAACACCCGACTTTGATTACATGGCATCGCATCCTCATCAACATCAAGTCGTCGAGGAACACTTGGATACCACCGACAGTGAATGGACGATCCAAGTTGCGTACAGTTTGGATGCCTCGCCAGCGTGGCGGATTGTGTCGTATATTGCCATTGTGACGGTATCGCTTTTGATATCGTTGCTGGCATCCACGGTGCTGTTTCAAAAACAAGTCCACAGTGAATTGGTCAAGGCCAATCTGGTCAGGGCCGAGTTGTCGGCACGAGCCGAACGCGATTTGAATGATTTCATGAGCCATGAAATCAAGAATCCATTGGGGGCGGCCATGGCGGCGGGCAACTTTATTGCCAGTGCCATTGAACAGGAACAACTCAAGTTGTTGCAGTTACAAGGAGACAACAATGCTGAAACACAACAACAACAAGCCAACTTGAATGATGATAGTACTCATTCCACAGGCAATGTCTATCAGACCATTGCCGAAGATGTCGGCATTATCAATGCGTCGCTCCACTTTATCAACAATCTCGTACGCAGTCTGTTGGATTTGCATCGGGCACAGTCCCGACAACTCACGTTGGAACCCGTCGAAACGGATATCAAATGCGACATTCTAGAACCGGTCGCGGCCATGTTGCCCAGTCGCGATTGCAATTACCGGGTCGAAGTCGTGGTTTCGGAGGATATGGACATTCTCATGATGGTGGATCGACTGCGATTGCAACAAGTCATTCTCAATCTGGGCAGAAACTCGGCCAAGTTTGTTCACGACAAGGGATTCATCCGACTCGGTGCCACTCTCCTGCCCGACAAGAGTGTCGAATTGTCCGTTGAAGATTCCGGATCCGGTATCCCGGAATCCAAACGACAGAACCTCTTTGCCCGGTTTCAAGAATCCTTGGATAGTATGAATCAAGGAACCGGGGTCGGTTTGAATCTGTGCCGGACCCTCGTGGATCTCATGGGCGGAGAACTGTATCTGGACGAGACCTATCACAGTGGTGTCGAAGGATGTCCCGGTGCACGGTTTGTCGTGCGTCTTCCCAATTCGGCATTCGTGGAACCACCCCTATTGGAATGGGATGACGAAGACGACGATGTTCCAGAGGAAGTCAGCCCATCCGCCGCCCTCGAGATGGACGAAGAAGAGGATGTCGTACTCGACATGGAAATGGGTGTCTCTCGCAAGAGCATGGGTGCTTCTCATCATAATCATCATCATCATCATGGTGGTGGAGGAGAAAGTATTGGTCGATCTCATCAGTCTCACCATTCACACCACGGCCGAATCAGAGATCAACCTGTGGAGCCGGTGCTGCCCGAACACCTCACCATTCTCGTGGTAGACGACGAGCGCATTCTTCGCAAGTTGGCTCTGAGAGGATTTCATCGATTGGCACCTGGTTGGACTCTGGAAGAAACAGCCTCTGGCGAAGCCGCCTTGCAATTGGTGGAAACCAAGCACTACGATATGATTCTTTTGGATCAGTACTATGCCAGTACGGAACGACGGTTGACCGGGACGGAAACGGCACGGGCGTTGCGAGCCAAAGGTGTCACATCTTTGATTGTTGGTGTGAGTGCCAACGACCTCGAAGATGCGTTCCTCGGAGCTGGTGCCGACATGTTTGCCACCAAGCCATTCGCCACCAGTCAAGCGCAACTCAAACAGTTCATGGGACGTGCGCTCCAGAAAATGAACCGGTAGTCATCACTTACTACTGTGCCGCAGCAGTCTGCCAAAGCAAGGAGTCGAGTCGATTCCGCAAAAGAAAATCATCATCTGAACATTGTACAATCTCTCCTCCTTCCTAGCTTCCATCGATACATCTTTCCTGTACAAATACTAATGTTCTTTAGAATGCATGCACCAACAACATTGTGCAATATAATCGTCATGTTCTAATCAAGAATCCTAGTAGTAGTAGTGTATCCTAGAGTGTCGTCCGTTTGAACACAAAGGGACACTTGACATGCAACTGAACACATTGAGCCTCCAGTGGAACATACAGAACTGGCCCAGGAAGGGGAACATTGGTCGGCATTTGTGACTCTGATGCTGTCCTACCCTACCGGTAGCGGAACAGAAGGTCCAGATTTTATTGGGAGAAGAACAGAGAATGCCAAGTTTGACAGCTCTATGGCCAGGCTATTTGCTCTGGTGTCTCGCAAGCCTACGCTGGATCCCATCAACCTGTTGTCTCAAGGCGGACACTTGCTTTGGGAGGTCATGGGCCCTGTTCTTCTGCTGGTTCTTTTTGATTTTCTTCTTCAGCCTCTTGATAGTTCTCCTTTGACTGCGAATGGTTGTTTTCTGGTGCTGTTGCTGCTCCAAGTGATGTTGAATCATTGTCTGCTGGGCAGCCACCAACTTGTGGAGCTTCCGTAGTTGATCATTGTTGTTGGGAGTTCTTGAAGCCAGTACTCCAACACTACTTGCTTCGTCATCCGAGTCTTCCTCCTCCTCAACCTCACCCTCAGAGTCATCACTGTCACTCTCCTCTTCGCTACTCGAGTCCTCGGTCTCTGCTGCCCTGGCTTCTTCCTCTTCGCTGTCGCTCATTGCTTTCTCTGCCCATTCGACAACCTTTTTCCTTCTTTCGGTGAAACGAGTACTTGCCTTCCTCTTGGCGACACGAGCACCTGCATTGCTAGCACATGAAGATACCCTTTCCTGTGGTTGATCCTCCACATCATTCTTGGGCTTCTTCTTGGGAGGACAGTTGACTGTATCATCATCAGAGGATTCCTCCTTGCAACAAATGCCATTACCAACAGCCAATGCTTCCTTGTTCGAATCTTCTTCCCCGAAATCAGAGTCAGACGCCTCATCATCCACATCGGCGTCAAATCTTCTCTTGCTTCCAGCATTGATGTTGGTTCGCGCGAATCGGGTGTATCTTCTACGACTTGTGGAGGACGATTTGTTGCCATGCGCGTTCCATAGGAAGCCTAGTCCTTCCAATGTTTGAATTCGCTCATCGCTTAGTCTCCCACTGTTGTAAAACCTTTTTTGTGTGGAAACCCAGGCCCCCAACTTTCCCTGGCTTTTGGGGACGTTGCAGTGACCATTCTCTTTGTGAAAATCTTGCAGCTCGGAAAACTTGTTCCACCAACCTGCATCATGTGCATCCCAACAAAACCCAAGCTTATTGAGGGCATCGATTCTTTTCTTGGACAGGATGTCATTCTTTGCATGCTGACGCTGGTGGCTCACCCATAGTCCAATTTGTGAATTGTTATAGGGAACTCTGCAGTGCCCATGCTTTTTCTTGAACTGTTTCAGCTTGTCTAGCTGCCCATACCAGATCTTATCATCGTGATTTGATGGCGGTATCCTCTGATGGAAGCGAATCAATTGGTATAAAGAAGGGAACAATCTGTGGTACAGTACGAGTATCCGTCCTTGCGGTACAATACCGGTAGCTTTGATACTTCAGTATTTACCTCCTTTGTGGGTTTATTGGATAGTCAACACAACATGCAGCAACAACACTGCCACAAGCTTGCTATCCCAGCATCCCAGCAACCTCTATTATAGAAGACAACCAAATGACACGTACGCGAACATGAAGGCGACGGGACGCTGATCCTCGCAGGAATTCGTGATCACTTTTTGGATCTTTGAAGCTGATGGTTGCGCGCACGGAGTGGCAATTAGCTCTGCAACCTAAAACAGAAGTAAAGGCACAATCGAGGGGTTCGAGCACGAGAGAGGACCGTCCAATAATCGTCATGTTCTAATCATGAATCCTACATGTAGCTAGCTAGCTAGCTAGTTGTCCCCTTTGGTTGAACACAAAAGCACTCATGACATGCAAACTGAACATGTTGAGCCTGCTGTGGAACATACAGTACTGGCCCAGGAAGGGAAACACCAATGGATTTGTTGGGATTTTGGGGGACTCTGAGATTCTTTCCAATTTCAACAGAACATGCCCAGATTCAATTGGCAGAGGAACAGAGCATGCCAAGTTGTAGGTACAACTCAATGGCCAGGATATTTGCTCTGGTGTCTCCCCAGCCTACACTCAAGACCATCAAGCTATTTTCTCAAGGTGGATATTATTTGCTTTGGGAGGTCATGTTTCTTGATTTTCAGTCTTTTGATGGTCCTCCTTTGACTGCGAATGGTTGTTTTCTGGTCTTGTAGCTGGTCCAACTGATGTCTGATTATTGTTTGCTGGGCAGCCACCAACTTGTGGAGCTTCCATAGCTGATCATTGTTGTTGGTCATTCTTGAAGCTACACCAGCACTACTTGCCTCATCATCCGAGTCTTCCTCTTCAGCCACAATATCAGAGTCCTCGGTGTTCGTCTTGGGAGGACAGCTGACTGTTTCATCATCGGAGGATTCCTCCTTGCAAGGATTGCCATTACCCAAACCCAAAGCTTCCTGATCCAAATCTTCTTCCTCAATATCAGAATCAGAAGCCTCGTCATTTGCATCGGTGTCCAATTTTCTCTTGCATCTTCTACAAGTGGAGGACGATTTGCTGTCACGACGTTGTTGATTCCAAGTAAAGCCTAGTCCTTGTAGCTGGCAATATCGCTCTTTGGCCAGTATTCCTCTGTCGCGAGCAAATCGCTGAAAGCAAACCCAACTTTCCAGCTTGTTCCCCTGGCTTTTGGGGACGTTGCAGTGACCATTTTCTTTGTGAAACTCTTGCAGCTACAAAAAACATCTTCTGCCAAGCATTCCCACGTGTATTCCAACAAAACCCATGCTCATTGAGGACATCGATTCTTTGCTTGGAGAGGGTGTCCTTGTTGGCCATACTCTGTTGATCCTTCACCCACTGTCCAATTTGTGAATTCTTATAGGGAACTCTACAGTGCCCATGATCTTTCTTGAACTGTTTCAGCTTGTCTAGATACTCGTACCATTTCTCGTCGTACAGTGATAGTAGAGACATCCTCTTTTGGAATCAGTTGGTTACAAGATCAGGAGATAATTCAGAAGTTTCTTCCTTGCTAGCTAGCTTGATGGGTTTATTATTTGAGTTTATTTGAGAGCTAGAGGTCAACAAAATATTATCATATATGCAGCAACAACAAATTCAACAAGCTTGGAAAGGTACGGTGGACATGGAGCAAAAAATGAGCCGATGAAGAAAGGTGGTCAAGCACGCAAGCAAAGGTGGCTGTTGTTGATCTATGATTGAGATAACGGCAGTTTTTGTGAGGTAGAAGGGGGAAACATAGCGTTAAAACTAACTTCACTAATGTTTACCACATCTACCTCAATCTTCCTGTTCTGACACATTGGATCTTTTGCGTGAATGATATCTTTGAAGCTTGTACCGGACTTTTGGCACGTTCCGTGTTGCGTCAGACTGCAACAGCTGCCTTGGCCATTGCAGTGCGTCTTCTTTCATGGCTGTTGCCACGCACTCACTTTTTGATTGGTTTTCAGGGCTTCCATGGCTTCAAGCATTGCATTCCATCGTAGCTCTCTCTAATCCATAGTAAACCCGACTTCCAGTTCCATGCAAACTCATTATTGGAAGAAGCAATCAAATAAAGCCAAAGGCATATTCAACCCTCGTTGTCCAAAAAAGACAACCATGTTGATCCAACGAGCAAAATTTGTCGCCGCCGCCGTGACCTCGGTTCTTCTGCTAGTACCCAGCCATGGGTTTTCGCTGTCTACTCGATCGGTGGTGCCACACCCGAAACTCGCAGCCAGAACATTCTCGTCATTGGCACTGAGAGCTACCATTGTGGAAGAAGAAGAAAAGGTTGAAACTCAAGTGGAACTCTTGCCACCACCACCACAGCAAGATGACAACAACAGTATGGAACTGGAAGGCGTGGTGTGTGCCCGAGGAGTTTGTGTTGTGGCGGATGACATGATGGCCCCGGAAATTTGTACCCTCGATGAAGAATCGCAACAAATTGTGTGTCAAGTCAATGACGATGCCACCATTCGTCCGTCGTTGACGTGGACGTATTTGTGGCCCCGGGCATTGCTCTTGGTTTGTTCCGTCTTGTATGGAACCAATTTTCCATTAGGACGACTCATGAATGAAAGTCTTCCCGCCAGTGCCGCCACCAGTTCGCGCATGGTCTTGGCCGCCGTGGCATTGAGTCCTTTTTTGTTCCAACTCAAACCGTCGTTGCGATCCACGGCGGCACTCTGTGGGACATTTACCGCACTCGGCTATATTTCCCAATCGATTGCCCTCGTCGATACGTCGGCTGCGACAGTTAGTTTTCTCGGGGCACTCGTTGTCATTGTCTGTCCCGCCTTGGCGGTCTTGGTCGATAAACGACCCATGGGATTTGCCGATGCCCCACAAACGTGGATTGCCGCCATTTTGTGTTTGTTTGGTGTCGGCGTCTTGGAACTCGGTGGTGGTGGTGGTGACGGTATGGATGCCATGGGATGGGGCGATGTGTGGTCTATTTTGCAGGCCGTCGGTTTTGGAACGTCCTTTTACATTACCGAACGCATGATGGCCAAGGAACCCAGTCAGGCATTGCCCATTACCGCCATGCAATGTGCCATGGCGGCGGCTTTTTCAGGACTCTGGGCTGTCGCGGATGGATCGGGATTTTGTGGTCCCGACGGACCACTCGCGTTGTTTGGAAGTCCCTATGGATCGTGGCTGACAGAATCCGATCAACCATTTACGCTACCCGCTCTGTTCCTCAATGTCGACTTTCGAATGGTCGCATTGGCGGCGGCATTCACCGGATTCATTACCACCGCCGGAAACCGTGTGGGAGAAACCTTGGCATTGGGCAAATTGTCCTCCAGCGAAGCATCCGTCTTGTTGGCCACCGAGCCACTGTGGGCCGCTCTGTTTGCCAATTTCCTGATTGGAGAAAAGCTCAGTCTATGGGACGGGGTTGGTGGGGCCATTATCGTGGCATCGTGTGTCGCCACGGCCCTGGATCCAACATGGTTGAGAGAACTTCTCAACATTGACTACGACAACAACAATGACAATGACAATAAGCAGGAGGCTGTCGATACCGAGGCATCCATGGCACCGTGAGGGTGGTTTGTTTGGCCAGAGGATCAGTTCCCGAATTAATGAAATGAAATGGAAAGGGACTATCCATATGTACAAGCAGGCCTCTTGCACATCGAAGCAGAGAGTTTCACTTTGCCGCTACGCACGCACTCATACACATAATATTTGTACCACCAGTTGGCGTTTTCTACAACCCTTTCATCATCAAACTCTGACCTGAAGGATTTGATCCAGCTTGGAAGGGCAACAAGGAAGCAAGCGCCGAAACCTCAAACAACATCATGGCTGGACAGCTGTTGCTGCCTTAGTAGTAGCTTGATTGTTCAACGTGTAATATTCATAAGCTATCACTTTGAAACTCGCTGGTTCGTGGGGAGGAAGGATTGATTTTTCCTTGCTTCTCTTGCCCCCAATCTTTACGTCTACCTTTTCCATAGAGCCGTACTTTTAAAATACCGAGACCTGGACCTACAGCGACGCTCTCGTCCCTTCACATTTAATTTCAGGATCATCGGCAGGAACCGCCGCAAAAATTCTCTGCGAGCAACAAATTTTAAAATAGTTCTGTGCTCAGGCCAACTTGGTCAGACCCGATTACGGGGCTACAGATATATTATTCTTGCTCACCGTTCATCACCGAGTCTTGCTCCTGCGCATACACCAGGCCCAATGCCCAATAATTCTGGACCTCCACATGGCTGACCCACTGAAACCCTTTTGCGATCCACAGATAGCTAGCTAGATAGTGGCTGGATGCAGATGCAACCAACAGGGAACCCCTCCAGCACCCAAAGATAGGTTTAGTGCTGACAACAGAATGAAGATGATGTTATATAAACGGGGGTTTAGATTGGTGGATTATCTACAGAAGCCAGAATTTGAATGCTTGGCTGGGGCCAATTCAATCAGCTTCTGTCTGTCTACTGGCCCAAGAAGCAAGAGCGACGAAACCAGCTTGCTTGGGGATCAAAGCTCTTGTAGCCAGCATTAAGTGTGGGGGCAGCCACAGGCTCTCAATCCTGATCCTCTGCCTCGTCCTCTGACCGCTCATGTGGGCAGCCATTTGCCTCAGCCCACTCATAAATAAAGCTCCAAATGTCCTTTGGCAAGAGCCCATTCCAATGTATCAGCATCCCAGGGACACCCATTCTCTCGAGCCCATTTGAGAATATCCAAGTGACCACCCATAGCAGCACCACGGCATGTATATTTATCCCAGGGGCATCCATTCTCTCGAGCCCATTTGAGAATATCCAAGCGACCCACCCTAGCAGCACCACTGCATGTTT